CCCGACCCGTCCTCACTGAGTGTTTGCTGTTGTTTTGTCTCTTCCTTCTTTCTGCTTCCTGTCGTCGTTAAAACCCACCTGAGCAGCCAATCAGGTACCAGGACCTTCACCACCCCCTTCCTCCTCCATTTTTGTTTTTAGCTGTTTGTCTCGTCCATCTGTTTGTCTCCTCATCTCGTTCTTCTCCTTCAGCGCTGAGCTTCCTGCATGTCAGAGCTGCAGCTTGGTTCTGCTTTAAGCTGCTCGTTTCGGCTGCAGCATGAGCCGAAATCAGACGTTTTCTGTTTCCAACCTTCGGCTGAATCTCTAAACCTGCCGAAGGTTCAAATGTTCCAGTCTGCTGGTAAAAGTGTTGCTTTCACTGTCATCAGAGACCAAAAGTGTTGCTTTCACTGTCATCAGAGACAAATCGTTTGTCTTTGGATCAGAGACAAACCAGTCCAAACCCAGGCAGGACCTCAGAACCTGACTGACGTGTTCCTGCTGTCCAAAAGACCAGTAAACGGTTTTAAACACTTTCAAAATAAAACAGGAAGTTGACCCGAGGTCATCTGAACCCCTCAGAGTTGGAAACATCTGTTGACAGATACTCTTGGGCAGTTCTGTGCAAAAATCCTGATCCACTCCTTGATTCTGTTTCTTCTAAGCAGCCAGACTTTGTGTAATCTGTTGAAGTGATCCAGATCAACGTTCTGAAAATAAACCAGAACAAAAAAACTTCTTGAACCAAGCCCCTCTCCCCAGAAGCTACAGTCCATCAGAACCAACACATTTCTTTGTATCGGCTGCAAAACACCCTTAAGAAAACCTTAGCTACAAGCAGAATTGGTATTAGCAGTTGTAGCGTATGTTAGCGTTATTTGCAGCAGTGTTAGCATTGATAGCATTAGCATTGTTTGTAGCCGTGTTAGCATTATTAGCATTAGCATTGTTTGTAGCCGTGTTAGCATTATTAGCATTATCATTGTTTGTAGCAGTGTTAGCATTTTAGCATTAGCGTTGTTTGTAGCAGTGTTAGCATTATTAGCATTAGCATTATTTGTAGCAGTGTTAGCATTATTAGCATTAGCATTGTTTGTAGCAGTGTTGGCATTATTAGC